AAAAATTTATGTTTATACACATCTACAAAATGCGGTTCTCCATCAATCTGCCTCTAGCAGGCCGAGATGTATGCTGAGACGAACATGATTAAATCTGTGATTAAATGATTTTAATAGAATTATTTGAAATTAAATTTGTGTAACTTTTTTGCATAAATACCCTGGGCAGTATTAATTGGCATATTCTGTTCCGTGTTTGGTTCCCGTGCTCATAACACAACAAACAATGGTGTAATTATTGAATATTAATAGAAACCTCACTTTACAGACAAGTTGCATGAAAGGACAGGGCGGGTTTTTAAAGAGCCCCCATCAAACACCAACATCTCTGGAGGCTTTCTGATAGATACCGAAGCAATTTTCCGCTTTGCTGGCTGAAAGGCAGATGTTTTAGTGGACTAAGACAGTGCCCTCCCTGGGTCACTGCACAAATACCCGCAGTGGCTGTTTCCTGAAAAGCCATCGCCATGGCAGCACTGCTTTGCGGCTTGTGTGAGGGACTGCAAAGTTTCCAGCATTTACAAGTCTGTAATTTTGGAGAGGGGCCTTACTCTCATCAATATTATCAATGATAAATTGTCACTCAATGATAAATCATCCAAAAATCACATGGTGAAGGAAAATAAATCTACCTCCAATATACAATAGATCTTTTTGTGGCTAAGATGTCCACCGTTACATGGGTTCGTGTGCCAACGTCTGATGGGTCATCCACACCTGCAGGGGGCACTGTGCTCTTCACTGAATAACAGAGCTGCCTTAGTCCAGGGTCATCCACACTTTGCACAGCCAGCCCTGGCCTCTGTGAGGTCCCGTGTCAAACAGGAGACAGCTTTAATCTCTGCTCTCGGTCGGCGAGCTCCCGATTAATATCTGTCACTGCTAGGTCCCAAATACCCCACGGCTCTCTGCTGAGTGCACAGATCTGTGTCCAGTCTGCTGGATTCACCTTGCAAACGATAAATAATAAATAATAAACACCGTGGCGCTCACTGTCCATTGCTCTCTGTGTCTTCAGCAAGTGATGCTTCGAAATCCTCCATTTCCTCCCTGTTTGTTTTGCTATTAAATACGACTATTCGCTAAACATGTCTGTTTACCTCTTGGGGGGCCTGCAGCCCCTCCTGCCAACAAGAGCTACGTACCTCATTCCTTTCCGTTTGCTTTAGGATAGTACTGGAAAGCCGGAAAGAGGACTTTTTCACATAACAACACAGCTAACCCCTGTCGCTGAGAATAAGCCATTACCTATAGCTGAAATTACCACGTATCACCATCCAGTCACTTACAGAAGGCAGTTTGGAGGCAGAGCGACAAACCAGGGAAAACAATGAGTTCTTAAAATAACCCGCGGCCGCGTGGTGTTTTTACAACTATTAGTGATATGGTGACAGCGTAGCACCTGCGACACATAGACGGCGTGACGAGGGAGGCGATGAGATGGCTGGTGGCCACGGTGAGCCGTGCTTAGCCAATGGGAGGGCAGCTCTGCACCTGTAATCACAAGCCTCACGCATGTCTCAGTGCTTATGCATCCTACAGCTGCTGGGCCATGGTTAGGCTGCAAATTCGAGCGGTATACTCGGATATAAGTGCCTGTGGCAGAACAAATCTGATGGACAGGCCCTAGATTCTCATGCGTGATATGGACCAAAAAAAAATCTGATACCTTGATATTTTTGGGTGAAATACCCATACAAGATAACTCTCTCTCTCTCTCTCTCTCTCTATATATATATATATATATATATATATATATATATATATATATATACACACACACACACACACACCTATATTGGTATTTACTAGGTAGTGGACTAAATGTTTCATTTTAATTCAAAGCCACGTGTGAGATGTCATGGACATTTTTACTTGAAAATGATGATATTTTAACCTGTGAGCCATTTGTCAGTATATTGAAATGAAATGATCCACGTAAAATTGATTACTGTAACAAAGTAGCAATGTAACAATCAAAGCAACAACGATTCCTCGTCTTTTCCCTAGATCAGCTTCCCCATGAGATGCTGCTCTGGGAAGCTATGCAGGGTCACGACTGGAACTCTCACGTTGTTTACAACCAGGAAAATCTTTAATAGAGCCCCAATTTTAATGCACAATAAAAGTAAATTCATAAAAAGGGTATTGTGTCATCCTTGTTTTGAAAACATATTGATATACCAAAAAAATCCAATATACCACCCAGCGCTTGGCGATGGTAGAAGTTGTTAAGGGGAGGTGGGGGTGGCAAAGCTTTGGATCAGCAGATGATCTGTAGCCATGTCCCTGGGAGGGATTGGCAAGTTGACTTAGGATTGAAGCAGAATTATGCGAAATAAATTCTGACATTGCTTATATGGATGTGGGTGTGACAGTACTTGGTCAAGCTGAGATTGTAACATTTTTTTATGACTCAGTCAGTTTTGAATCTCATTCAAGTCTGAAATCATCACTGAGAGTCCCAGCCAATATTGAAATTAGGATGCATGGTCTCAGTCAAGACTGAAATCATCACACAGAGTCTCAGTCAGTACTGGGCCCTTGAGCAAGGACCTTAAATGAAATGCT